GTCATTGGTCATTGGTCATTGGTCATTGGTCATTGGTCATTGGTCATTGGTCATTCGTCATTCGTCATTGATTATTAGACATGACATTGGTTATTGGCTATTGGTCATTGGTTATTAGACATTGGCCATCAGTCATTTCTTATTGTTCATTGATTGTTAGTCATTAGTCATTGCTCATTTGTTATTAGCCACCAGTCATCGGTCATTAGATATTATTCACTACTCATTATTCATTGCTCATTCCTCAGTAGTGCTTGCCCAATATGTCAGAAAAATGACTCACTTTGGCTTTGGGGGCTTGTACTTCATGCGTGCCTCCATGCGCTTCTTGGCCGATATCTTGTCATCTAGGCTGGTCCCGTAGGCGACGGTAAAGGCTGCCGTCACACTCTTCTCCTTGCAGAACGTCATATGGCTGTCAATGGCTTTCTGGCTGAACTTGCGTTCACAGTATGGACAGCGTTCCAATGGAAGAGCGTCGAGGCGCCTGCTCGTCGAGGACTCTTGGCTTGCAGATGTGCTTGGCCCTGATCTGCGCCTGGGCCTATTAGTCGCATCCGATCGAGGTGGTGCGGCTGCAGCCGAATCCTCCTGGGCAGCTGACTCCGCATTGGGAACGGCGGCGTTCCTATTGGTGGTCACTGTATTTGTTGAATGTGACGTGCTGGGTTGCGGCTCGCGAGTCGCCCGGAGGCTCATGTTGAAGAAACTGAATCTCTCGCGACGTTGAAGCGACGAATCAAATACTTCACGTTTCTTCACAACCCGAGCGCAGATGTCCGCGTGTTTGGCCAGGACCGCCGGATTGAATGTGCGCTTACAGTGCGGGCATGCCTGCAGCTCCTCCTCGCAGTTATCAGGAATCATTTCATTCAGGTCAGATGCCATTTCGCGTTTTATTATTTTGAAACGAAATACGATAATTTGGAAAAAACCGTACGAATTTTGGAAATAAAAAAAAAAATTAAAAAAAATAAAATGCTGGCTTCAGTTCAACGGTGCGAACAATAATGAACAAATGTTGTAAGCTAGTTGAGCTCTACCCAGTTACAGGCGTGTGAAATGAATGTCAAGGGATTCTATGATGTCTCATAACGAAAACTTTTTACCACAGCCAGCAGAGTAGATTTGTGAATTGAAATCGAAAAATGTTTATATTTTTTATCGATTCATGTGGAAAAGTGTGTTGGGTAAAGCTTGTCAAAGAAGCCGGGGCGAGAGTGAGAGTGAGATGGAGATGGAGATGGAGAGGGAAAGAGAGAGAAGGAAGTATTAACAGCCATTTCGATAAAGTTGCAAAGCTTTGTATGGAAATTTTATACTGTTTGCTACATATTTTCGCTGTATTTAAGTGTAATTAATAAAGAAATTAGCTGGCCTATGTATAAATTATGTTAGCAGTATTCATATTCATAATTTAACTCATTTTGCTACGTTGTCCAACACTGTTTTCGCCATAGTTCGCTGTACGTGGCCTGTAGTTTGCCATAAACATGAATAATCGCACATATTGTTTATTGCATGCGTTACCCAACACTGCTTTCGCTCGCACTAAGTATACACAAACCGAGCTCTTTTTGCGCCGTTATCTAACACGATTTGCATATTGCATGTTAATTTTATTTAAATAATAAAGCTCATTTTGTTGCGTTGCCCAACACTGCTGCCGCATTAGCTCCGCAATGGCCTCTAGCTAGCCCTGATTTCGCTCAGTGTAGCTGCACGCAGCTGCGACCCATTGCGATCGACTGGACTGACTGGGAACTGCTTCAAGTCGTTCATTGAATTGAATGTTGAAATGGAATTATAAGACAGACAGCGCTTTATACAAATTATGGCCCGGCCTGGCCTGGCCTGGCCTGGCATGGTCTGGTCTGCCCTGGATCTGGCTGGGCTTCGCACGCTGCCTGCCTGCTGCTCGAGCACTTGACTGGCAGGCGCTGGACTGCGCTGCATTATGGCTGCCATGTTCGCTCTCGCTGGTCCGGCACTCATGTTGCCCCATTGCGTGGCACGTTGCACCGTTCCGGGTGCATTTAACGAACGCATTTTTCATATCGCTCTGCCCCTCACCGCTCCACCACCCTAACACGCCGTCTACATAGCTCTCCACCTCCTTCGGGCATCGCACGCTCTCCCCCCCAAACTCTCCCTCTCTCTCTGTCTCTCGCGCTCTTTGTTGGCTGTGAAGTGATTTCCGAAATGATTATTTTTTGACACATGGGGCAACACCTGCATAGCATTTGACGTCGCCGTCCGCAACGTTGCAGCTGCCACAGAGCAGCGGATCCCAATGCCAAAGAGCCAGCCGCCTTCAATATGCATCAAATGCCCGAGTCATGTCGATGCGACGGCTCCAATGCCCAATCCCTCCGCCCCTCTCAGACAGCTCGTTATATTTAAACACATGTGCGAGCGTGTCCGTGTGTGTGTTTGTGTGTGTGTTGTTTGTGTATAATTATATAATTTGACTGCTGCAATTATGTTGTTCTTCGTTAATTGAAATGTAAACGTCATCATTATGATAAGACGATGTCGAGGCCCGCTCCGACCCGATGTGGGCATTGCGCCCAGCTTGTTGTTATTATTGTTAGCGACGCTGACATGGGCATGCAACTGCGACGCCGACTGCGCTGCCAACTGCGAGCGTGTCAATTCTATTTGTGGTGCCAGACCTGGTGGCAGGAGACGGGAGTTGGGAGCTGGGAGATGGGAGACGGCAAGCGCTGCATACGCTAGCCAAAGGGCCCAACGCATATTTCATAAGCCTCCAATTGTTGGGTATCTCAAGTGTTGGCTAACGTCCATCCGATATGAGTATTGTCAATGCCTATCGATAGTTTTATGCGATTCCAAAGAGTGAAGCACGTCAGCTCATCCAAGTATTATTGCTAGAAATAGCATATAAATCAAGCTAAAATTTTGTATAGAATTTTATTCCTAGAATTTTAGTTCTCAGTACATAGACTTGGCTAAGGTTATCCGAAATACTTGGTAAGAAAAATAAAGACATGGTCAGAGACATTATATATATGTACATATATTACATAAACAGAACAATCTAGTTATCGATGGAATTTACTCCATTGCTGCTACCCGTTGAGCTTGTCGAGTCAATCATTTGAGAGCAAGCGCTGCAATAAACAAAATTTCATATTTTACAACGAAAAGTTACAAGTTTTACAAGTTTTCAATTCTCAACTCATATCGATTGCAAGCAGTCTGTTTAGTCTGCATTCGCATTGAAGATGCTCGCCAAACGTTTGGCCCAGCTCAGGGCAATGGCAGCGGCACATAATTTGCTCACACGGCGTACACCAGTTGTTCAGGAATTTGGTCGCATTTACAGTACAAAGAAAATGCAAAATCAACAAACGCCGCAGCAGAAGCAGCAGCAGCAGCAGCCGCAACAACAACACAAACAAGAACAAACAAAACAACAACAGCAGCAGCAGCAGCCACAGATGTCTTCCAAGCCGATGCAGCAGCAGCAGCAGCTACAGAAGTCGTCCAAGCCAATGCAGCAGCAGCAGCAACAGCAGGAGTTGTCCAAGCCAATGCAGCAGCAGGAGTCGTGCAAGCCGATGCAGCAGCAGCAGCAGCAACAGCAGGAGTCGTCCAAGCAGCAGCAGCAGGAATCGTCCAAGCCGATGCAGCAGGAATTATCGCAACAGCAAGAACTATCGTCAGAGCCAACATCATCGCATGATGATGAGCCGAAGAGTGGAACGTCCATGTCGGAAATAGATTGGCTGGCGCATGAGCTGGCCTCCATGAAGCTGGAGCACAAGACGCTGCTGGACAAGTACAAGCGCGCGCTGGCCGACGGCGAGAACCTGCGCCGTCGGCTGAACCGGCAGATCGACGAGGCCAAGCTCTTTGGCATACAGGGCTTCTGCAAGGATCTGATCGAGGTGGCCGATGTGCTGGGCCATGCCACGCGCTCGGTGCCCAAGGACAAGCTGAGCACGAATGCCGAACTGAAGAGCCTCTACGAGGGCCTCAATCTGACGTGCGCCTCGCTGCAGCAGGTGTTCAAGCGGCATGGCATCGAGATCTTGGATCCGATCAATCAGAAATTCGATCCCAATCTGCACGAGGCGCTCTTCCAGACGGTGGACAGCTCGGTCGATGCCAACACTGTGGTGCAAGTCAACAAATTGGGCTACAAATTGCACAAGCGTTGCATTCGCCCCGCCCTGGTCGGCGTCTCCAAGCGCTAAACGGCAAAGTCATCCTGTGAAAACAAAAAAAAAAAACATTTATATATATGTATATATATATACACGTATATGAATATGCATATGTATGTATTATATGTATTATATATACATGTGCATATACACCTATATATATATATATATATATAGATGTTTGTATTCTGGTCCATAAGACCTGTCCACATTATGGCCAAGCACACATTGTTCGCAAAATTTTCTTTGTCATGCCACAAAATTCACATAAAATTCACGCTCACTCAGCCAGCCAACGTAGACAGCTCAAAGTTCTCATAATAAAAAAAATAAATAAATAAAAAATAAAAATAATAATTATATTCAGTTTTTGCCCAAGGAATTTCAAGTATAACAAATTCGAAAGGTTATGGAGATCATGAGAAGCGCATAGAGAGGCGCAAATGAGTCACAATATGCAGAGCAGTGATATATGTATGAGTATCAGTTAAGTTCTCTACGGTTATATATAGGATTATGTATCTAAATGTATAGCTATATATCTATATGAATGCTATTGCTATGGCTATACGGTTATAAAGAGGATTACTTATCTAAATGTATAGCTATGCTGTCCAGTAATTGCAATACTTTTGGCAGCTCTGGCTGTTGCTAGGCCTGTCTGTCAATCAAATGGCTTATTTGTGAGAAGCACATAGAACGGCGCAATGGCAATTAAACAGGGCGACGGAAACCCATTAAAATGTTGAGCGGCCATTTGAGCAGTCTGCGGCGCTGCTTTTGGCCCGAAAACTAGGCAAAAGTAGCATGAAAAACTTAGCAGACGTGTGTTTGTGTGTCTGCGTGTGTGTGTGTGTGTGTGTAAAAGTGCGCACAAATATTTTCAATTACAAATTGTATTTTTCCGTTTAGATAAGCAAAATTTATGGCAGTTCCAGCAGCTCAGGCCAGGCACTCGCCTCCCCTCTCTCTCTCTCTCTATCTCTCTCTCTGTCTGTCTCCTAGTCGCCCTGTCTCGCTCGCTTCAGTTGGCGTTCAATGGCTTCGCCTTCGATCGTCCTGCGGCAACAAACACTTTTGCGCTTCGCCGGCGACGCAGTTGTAAACAAGGCTGCAACACGGAGAAAAAAAAGAACTGAAAAGAAAAGAAAAGAAGCAGCAGAAAAAAAGAAATGCAAAGAAAGGAAAAACAGTATAGAAAAGCCAGAGGAGAAGCAGTGGGGGGGGCAAAGAAAAAGGAGCTGCAGCAGACGGACGCCAAGCGGCAAAAAGCGAGCCGCCGTCCGCCGCCAGAGCGTAGAAAAACTACGGAAAAGATGAAATGACGTACAGATTTACAGAGTATTTTCTTTTACGTGCTTTTGTGGCGCCGCCAAATGTCACGTACGGCAGACACACCGAGCCGCAGGTGGGGCAAGCTCTGCAAATACATATGTATACGTGTGTGTGTGTGTGTGTGTTGTAGTGTGCGTGTTTGTGTTCGAGGAGGCGTGCCACATCGCTGGGATGCTTGCTGGACTCGTTCTAGTCTCGGTCAGAGCCGAGACCAAATGAAATGCAATGCGGGATGCTCGATGCGAAATGCCTCGCAACTTATTACAAATGAAGACTCGACAAGGCCAGTAGCTTCAAGCTGGAGTTATGCAGTGCCCCAAAAATTCAATGGCACGCCCACCGTGGACAGCGGTCAGCCAGCCAGCGCCCCCAAAACGATTTGTAAGAAAAGTTTTCACTTGGCTTTCGGCCACAGTACGCAAAATGCTTGCACTTCAAATTGAATTAGAGTGAATATAACGAAAGCTGTGCCAGGAGAGAGAGAGACAGAGAGAGAGAGAGAGAGAGAGAGAGAGAGAGAGGAAGGGTGGGTGGGTTGGTGGTACAACGTGCTGCTGGTTGACAAAAGGTGCGGGCGCACAAAAAGTTTGCCATCAACGTCGGCGGCATATTAAAGTCGAAGGTGTTGCAGCAACGACTGGGCGTGGCATCCGCAGCGCCTGGACATGGCACGTTTGTCGCTGTCATTTGCTTACCTTCGTTTTATTATTTTAATGCTTTATTGATATGTCGTTTATACACACACACACACACACACACCGACATATCGTATATTCAAATTTCCAATCACGTGCGTAGCCCAAAGACGGAAACGACAGACAACTGCTGCGGCAAGAGAGAAAGGGGAAAAGAGAGAGTGCAAGAGAGAGAGAGAGAGAGAGAGAGTGAGTTGAGCACTTTGGCTACATTAAAAAACTCTTAACACGATCGTCTCTTAAATGTTATTAATCAATTATCGATCAGCCAAAACATAACAGATGTCATATATGTATATGGGCACATATACATATACGCGTCTTTATGGCCATGCAAAGTCTTTTAGGTTTCCCATAAAATCAATAGCAAGCCGAGGCGAGTCAATATAGATATCGTTATTCTATCTGTTGCCACATCTGCGTCTTTGTTTTTCGGTTTTCGGTTTCTTTTTCTCTTTTTCGTATATAAATAAAACATAAGAAACTCGATACGTTGATTGGGCGAGTATTTATGTATGTAAATGGATGCGTATGTGTCTATAAGAGGACTGTGCTGTTACGATATGCCTCATATATACATACATATGTATACAAAGTCGAGAGGCTTTGCGGATACGATGTATATGCGAGAACACGATATGTGTGAGAGTCTGACTGATACGATATTAAGAATGAATGCGTGTGACATACTCATACGATATTGTATTATGTGAATATCGTGTGAGAGATATGTTGTAGAGTCAGTGCTAAACGATATTGACCACATCTACGGTACATGTGTGTGTTTTTATGTTACGATATTCATGACATGCAGTATAGGATATTTTGATTCTGATACGAATAATGAATAAAATATGCAATACGATATAAGAGTTGTTCTGATGCGATATAGATAATATGTACTAAATATGTGAGAGTGCTTATGTTACGATATTAATAGCTTGCCCTTCAGATACGATATTGACAATGAATAAAACTTATTATATATTAAGCGATACGATATGAAAGTTGTTCCGAATATAGACAATATTTGCGATATATGTATGTATGTAAAAGCCTTTACATACGATATACGTCAGTTTGATATGATGTGGACAATAAATAGTATAGTTGTATTCTGTTACGATATTGAGAATGCAAAAGACATACGGTTATTCATAGGTGAGTCATATTAAAGCGATATTGACAATATTTACGATATTCATAAGAGCTTTTATGTTGGGATATTCACAATATATACGCCATATGTGTGGGTTGCTCTGATACGATATTGTTAATACTTTCGAGATATGTGAGAGTTATTACGTTACGATATTGACAGCATGTGTCATATGTGTTACGTTACGATATACATATGTGAGAGCTGATACGAGTTGACAATTACAAAATGTACAATATATGTACATTAGAGCTGATACGACATGATATTATTAATATATACGATATATGGGATAGTCTTGCAGTTACGATATAAGTACGTGAAAGAGTTCTGCTGCTATGATTTGTATGTACAATATATACGGTATATGAACAAGTGTTTCTGTTGCGCGATATTTCTGTTCGCTTACGATATTGACGTTACGATATAGACATTATATGTACATGTATGACTAGGAGTTTGTATTAGTATTACCTGCTACGATATATATACAATATATATGACTAGTTCAAAGTTTATTTATTTCCATAGAGAAACGAGGTACCCAATTGTTGTCCCTTACAGGGTATTCGAGTGTGGCAAGTGTATTTAAAAGTTGCTTCAAGATACATTTCAACTTCTGTTTAGTTGGCGGCATCCGTCGCTGGGGTAAACAGCAGCAAAACGGCAGCAAATGCTGAGTTAATTTTCATTTGCCGCTTGTGGCTACAGTGAAGCCTCGACTTTTGCAAACACACACACACACACACACACACGTACACACACTTTATTTGCTTTTCGAGCACTTTTACGCAACCTGATGCGCGACTTAACAAATTGCTCACACTTTCTGGTTGAAGCTACGAATCGTTTTTAATGCGTCCTTAATTAGTCTCGATGCAATTATATTCGTGTGTGTGCATGGGTGGGTGGCTGTGTGCGTGTGCGTGCGTGTGTGTGTGTGTGTGCTGCCAATTTTGTGGCACATTCGATATTTACAATTGGCCGCATTACTTGAGTTGCAGTTGACTGGCGGATAAGGGACCCTTAGCCACAAGTGTGGCGCCACTTGGCAGCAGTTGCTGTTGCAATTAGTTGCTTGTACTTCATGTACGCACACGTGTATATACGTATGTATGTGTGTGTGTCGATAAATCCGCAGCTTGCTCAATGTTGAGCGTTTTAATTGTTTGCCATTTGTGTGCGGGCTGTGCGCTGGCATGTGGCATGTGGCAAGTGGCAAATGGCATGTGGCAAGTTGCAAGTTGCAAGTCAAAGGAACTGCTTATGCCACCTTGCTTGCAGCAAGCTTGTGCCCCCCCCCCCCTCTCTCTTTCCCTCTCTTTTTCATCTCGTTTTTTTTTTGCGCTGCAGCATGCCAAAAGCTTTAAGTTGCCATGCACACACACACACGCACAGATGCATGCGCCATGTGTACTTATATTCATATCCATATCCATATCCATATCCTTGTGCTGCAGCTGCAGCTGCCGCAAATTGCGGCACGACTTGTGGCATGCTCCACTTTTATTAACTTTTTAATGCAGCGTTGCCAGAGAAGTCATAGCTAAGCCCCACACCCCACCTCGGCCCCCCACTTGCCCCATGCCCCATGCATCCGTCTCTGCCGAGTTCGGTTCAAGAGTTTTGCTAGCTTTTATAAGTTCATGTCTAGCAGCTGCTGGTGGCTCAGCTCCGGTTCCTGTTGCCCTGTAGTGCCCCCTGCCCCCTTCCTCAGTCCCTTGCCTAGCTAGTTCCAGCTGCTAACTTCCAGCTCTCTCTCTTTGTCTCTCTCGCTCGCTCGCTCTCATTGTGCTTGCAACTCCTGTTTAAGCTCGTGAAGTAGTTTCTGTGGCATTTTTGGTGGCTTTTGGCTCATCCTTGACATGCAAATGCCCCAGCTACTG